GGATCTGGTCTGGGAATTCACAGGAGACGTGTGTGGCTAATAGTGGATGGAAGTATCTGGGGAAATTGTAAGTACAGGCCTGAGTGTAGGATTTGCTGCTACTATCCCTTTTGAGAAATTTGCGCTGCTGGTTTGGGACTTTTCCTTTTCCCTGAGGGCCCAGAGTTGCTCATTCCCTATAGTCTGATAAAGGGGGACTATCCTAAGGAGTGTAGACAAAGCAAAGAGTGTCCTCTGATTTTTGCACTTTGTTCGGGAGTATTCCACAGCTCCCTGCACTCCAACCAAGTTTAGTTTGCAGTAAAGTCTAAAAGACACCCCAAAGTCTGCTCATTGAGCTGTGAGACTGGCTGCGCTGTTGTGTGCCTGGCTGCTTCTACACCAAATGGGAAGAAAACCTGAGACAAATGAACGGGCCTGTCACAGGGCTGGCTCTTCACATACATGGATTGAAATTGGTCCAGCAAGGGACTGACACATTTCTATTCATGTATGGCAACTGCAGTTGAACAGAAGTTGATCTACCAATCGACGTCTACTCAACCACTCTGTCGGATTTTAGCCGCTCGTTATAGCCTGCAGCGCTGATGTGTGTATTCTGACAGCGGGATGTCTCCTCATTGTTATAATACAAATAGACAGCAGAGAGAATTCCTCCATCCACCTTGAATGTTTTTATGGAAAAATTGGTCCAGTTTCTTTTTTCTTTTTTTTTTTTTTTTTCTCATTCAACAAAACCTCACTCATCTGTGGCCAGCCCCAATGAGCCAGTTGCCTTGTCTGCATGGACAAAGGACAGGTTGGTTGTAAGGATTTAAACTGCCCCAGACTTAAAGTGCTTGTAAAGGATGAAGGTTTTTTACCTTCAGTCTTTATGCATGGAGAAATGAATGCACCTCCAGCACACCATGATCTACAGTTGGTTTACATCTGTGCCTTAGGTCCTTCGGTAATATAAGATGGGGGATTTACAAAATGAATGGCACTGCACCGCAGTTTGTGCCTTGTGATAATGTGCAGAAATCTGGCCAAAAATTACAGAAGGCAGGCTCAATTTAGCATTTTTTTTTCTGCTGACAGCCTTCTTGATATGAAAGAAAACATTCAATGAATATTAAAATAATGCAAGTGTTTTGGACCGAGCCGGGAGTCCAAATAATATTTCTGAATTAAAAGAACTATGCAAGAAAATTGGAGAAACAAGTTCTAAAGAATAGAGATTGCTCAAGAAACATTTGGGGTCTTTGCCAAAGAAGGTGTCATTAGGTACAGATTAGCAGGATTATATATCATTTTATTATTTCCAGTCTGTTAATTTCAGCAGATAAAATTGTACATTACAAAAAAAATACCTAGATATGGGATATCTGTCTTCTGATAAAGGTGACTTAATCTGCCTACTCCAATGGAGATGGGAAGGGTAGACAGGCTATAGACAGGCCGAAATTGTCGGCTGATTAACGAAAAATAGGTTGGCCCCGTTGCTGATGCTGCCACCAATTTTTTTGTGGATTTTCCAGCATGACCGATAAAAATAAACTAGAAGATCCGCGAAAAAACGGCCAACGGGCTGACCACACTAACTGCGTTTGAATATCGGCCAATTTTTTCGTGCGGACGGAAATTAGGCCGATAAACGACCCGTCTATGGCCTTTAGTAGTCCATTGTTGACAACCCTGATGGTGGCCTATTGTTAATGCAGTTTCATTAGGCCAGGAGAAATGCATAAAATCGTAGCAACTTTCTGCTTTAGATAGATAGCTCAGTTGGTGGGGTTTAAAGTATTGTTTTGACCTTTTACTATAAAACTTACAGTGCCTTGTATTTTTTCCCCAAGTAGGTTGTAAATTATGCTGTGACAGAACTTTTTCAGCACTCAAAACTCCTACCTGTAGGCCAACCTCAAACCCTGTCACAAAATTAGAAGCCAGTGTACTTTCACCATCCTAAAATGAAGCTAGGATAGAATGTCGAAGGGTTAAACAAATGCTATAATCTATGTCCAGCTCATCCAGTTGTGCTGTTGGGCCAATTCCGTTGAACTGAGGGACATGTAGGAAGGTCACTGGGCAATCAACTACAGTGCCGGTGATTGAACGACGTGTCCCACATTGCAATGCATGTACACTCTGGTAGAAAAACTCAGAAATGCATCTTTTGAATATAGGCCTGAAAAACTGTTTAAGCACATTTTTAAGATGAATTCGTTTTCTCATTGTGATTGGCATCTACCACTTTAAGTAAAGGCCTTCAGAAATTATTATTATACAGTATTTATAAAGTGCCCAATAGTTTGTTCACTCAGCGCTGTACATTGCAAAGGGGGACAGAACATGTGACAGAACAATACCAATACAATGCAAAACATATCGAGGGCCCTGCTCTTTCGAGCTTACAATTAGAAGGGACACCAACATTATACGATTATTTCACCGTGTGACCATAAGTGGTTGAATCTGGTGAACCATCCTTAATTTCTGTTGTGCCCTGTGAACGTCATAGGAGAAATTGCTCTGATGTGCATGAAATTCAAAGACGTGCCATGATATTTACGTAGGTTCATGCAATGATGAACACTCGAGTTGGCATGTTTTGGCTGTTGCCATCCAGTAAAAACTGTCCAATTGTTTCACCAGTTAGACCACAAAGCTGTCTAAATATTTACCAGTATGATTGCAGGTTTTCAGATTCATCATTATTGGAGATGGGTGATCTAATTAGACAAACTTTTTTTAATATATATAATTTTTTTTTCCATTTTTAATCCTTGTACTGCTGCTTTCAATGTTCTTTTTTTTACTTTTTTCTTCTTTTTGTCTTTTTTTTTTTTTTTTTTTTTTTTTTTGTTTTTCTGTGCAAAAAAGTGTAAAGTAATGAGGCTAAGAGCTCATGTACACTGCAGCTGATAAACTCAGGTTTAGGAGCTGTTCAGCGGTTTTTTCAGCAGCCTCTGAACTCTCCCTAATCTTTTCCTATGTGTCCATGTACACATCTTCGTTTACAGGCATTTGTGTTTACAGTCGTTTTTTTTTTAAAGCAGAAAACTTGCGCTCAGCAGTCGATTTTATCAGCGTTTCAAACGCAAAACGCTTGTAAACAGCAGCAAATCGTGTTTATAAGCTTTTGTGCCTGAAAATTTTTTTTAACTCTTCCAGTTCCCGATGCTGTCCAGAGCCTTTTTTCATCATGAAAAAATGCATGTAAAGCATTTTCAAGGTACTCAGATGGACAAAACACTGAACACAGGATGTTCCTACACATTGTAAGGACCAATTCACACATCAGACCTCTCCCACCCTTGGAAACAAAAGATATGTTAATGCCCATTCACAGCTCAAATTCCTCATGAAGACCCCCTGCCAGGTGGCCTTAATGACTCACTCCACCAGAAACCTCTCCCACCCTTGGAAACAAATGAAATGTGAATGAGCAATTCACACCTAAGCTAATCTCAAACACAGATACTTCTATCTCTGCTTCTACTCTCTGTATTTCTCTGAAACAGTCTGAAATAGTTAAATATTTACCACTTTTCAGTGCATTCTGGGCATTTGGGAGGTTCCCCTGTGCTTATCTTTAAAAACCGCTTCTAAACACAAACGAACATAAACGCGGTATGCAAATCGCGGCTAAACAGACGTTTTTTAACCTGTTTTCAGCAGTCAGTTTCCATCGTTTAGAAGTGTCTGTGTACATGGGGCCTTGTAAGTTGTCTTTTCAGGTCCAGGAAAGGTAAATGGAGCTGCTCTGACTTTCAGGGTCCATTTAAATCCTGTCCCCCCCCCCCCCCCCCAAAGACCTAAAGACAAACAAATGAAACCAGCGCTCAGAACTTCATGCAGACTAAAAGGAATTCACAATGGCAAACGAAGAGGTGCAGCCCTTCAAAGATCGGGAAATCTAAGCACTCATGAACAAAGAACAAAAAAGGCGCACTCTCATCGTGCATTACTGTGGTACACCACATGTTTATTGTGTAATCAAATAGATATATACTCACAAACCAAACCACATAATGAAAGCAGTATGAAAAGTCCGCAATGGCAGTCAATGCAATGCTGTGCCCCAATTGGGGATAAACAGACGCGTTTCGGGAGACAAACCTCCTTCCTCAGAGCTGAAGTGTGTACCTGCTGGTCCAATACTTTATATGCCAAAAGATACCAAAGAGGTAAAATAATCCCTCTCTCCCCACAACCACATGGTGGTCCAATCACAGCAAGGACCGATTGGACCCACCTCCAACAAAAAAAAAAGAAAACTTTTTAAAATCAAAATAAATAAAAGTTATAATAGAAATAATAAGATGTATATGCATATCCATCCATTCATGCATATACATCTTATTATTTCTATTTCCACTTTTATTTGATTTGATTTTAAAACGTGTTGGTTTTTTTTTTTTTTTTTTTTTTGGGAGGTGGGTCCAATCGGTCCTTGCTGTGATTGGACCACCATGTGGTTGTGGGGAGAGAGATTATTTGACCTCATATAAGTATTGGACCAGCAGGTACACACTTCAGCTCTGAGGAAGGGGGTTTGTCTCCCAAAACGCATCAGCTTATCCCCAATTGCATTGACTGCCATTGCGGACTATTTATACTGCTTTCATTATCCTTTGGTTTGTGAGTATATATCTATTTGATGACACAATAAATATGTGGTGTACCACGGTAATGCACGACGAGAGTGCGCCCTTTTTTGTTCTTTGTTCACTAACCTCCCAAAGACCTTTTTAATGTTGTCTCCCCGTCGACTTTAAGGCATTTCCTCTACATTTATTGTCTTTTTTTTTTTTTTTTTTTTTCCCAGAAATGTTTAGTGAAAAGCTATAACTAAAAAATGTGCTCATCACTAATCCATATCTGTAGCCAGGTTATATTGACAAATGTGTTATCGGCCCACAGGACAAGCGCTCATTAGCATTGGATATTTGTTACTTTGTCCGGAATACTCCTCTGTGTTTGTAACTTTATCTTGTGTTTCCTTTTTTTTTCAGGCGATGACAAATTTGGGCGTAAGATCGTCGTGTTCAGCGCCTACCGCCTGCCTCCGTGTCACCAGCTCGATCATGTTAAACTTCTACAGTAGTGGCTATAGTAGTCCCTAGATGCGATGTTGCCATCTGGTTCTGCCATGTTTCCAGCTAGACTCATTAATCAGTCTTTGCAGTGCAAACATAAAGGTCCGCTGTAGAGCCTGACAGCAGACACAGGCAGCTGGCCCACTTCTAATCTGTTTTCCTCCTAGTGGTAAGAGCTCACACCATATTTGGTGCTTGGCCCTCTGCATTCCATATGGTTTTATTACTATTTCCAGCTGTAAAAAGAAACCCTTCTGTGTTGGCTTAACTGCCAGACTAATCCAAACTGTGGCTTTGTAGGATTGCTCATGGGCTTTTGTGTATAGTGCAGTTTTTAGCTTTTTTTTTTTCTCCAAAACTTTGCTTACAAAAAAGCTTTAAAGGATACCCATATAAGTATACACCCTGTAATGCTTTATAGCAAATACTGATATACTCACATCGGGCTTATGATCAAAAGTCATTAACACTCATACATAGACATGCTCACACCCTGGGGCCTGTTTTGGGGGTCCATAAATGAAAACTGTTCCATATGTTGCTGTGTTCTATGCAAATAAAAGTGTGTTCAGTGAATCAATAAGTGAGTTCCACTACCATTGTCATGCTGCAATCATAATGTGTGAAGAATTTTTCATAACCACTTCATAACATCTACTTATTGTGATTTATATTCTGTGAGTTCCACCATCCTTTGAGAAAGCCACAGAGAAAGTGATGTAACGTGTCAGAGTGCCGCCTAGTGACGTCATCGTGCTATCCCGAAGTAGCCGCTGGAGAGCATACTGGTGATGGTCTTATCCTTAAAGAGGGGCATGTACCTTTTATTGTTAGAAATTTTAAAGGTGGTGCACTGCTGGATTTTTTTTTTTTAGTGCAGCTGCTTTGTGAGGGTTTTTTTTTTTTACCTTTTAACCTCTAGGTGCCGGCCGCGTCTGGGCCTTGACGCCGAGTGTGCCCGCACATTTGCGTGCAATTAAGAAAAACATATGTAATGAGAGTGCACGCTCCCAGCACACACGTTCGGTACTCACAGAAAGGTCCCAATCTCCTCTTTCGATTGGGACCTTTCCCGATTATGTGACCGCGAATCACGGCTGTCACATGATCCAAAGACCCCGCCTCCCAGCTTCTGAAACCCTTAAAGGGCCGGGAGGCGCCGGCACCAAGGGGTTAATAGCCATTGTTTTGTTTTGTTTTTTTTAATGGTAAAACACTATGTTCAGTTCCTAATTTTTTGTAGCAGAAAAACGCTGGTGGATTTACCTTGCCTCGTTTAGTCCTCTTTGCTGTGAGTATAAGAGGGGCCCACGGGATGATTCCAGATATCTTAAGAAGCAAATAAGACACCTTAAAGCGCGTTGTGACCTATGGTTATAAATAGGTTAACATATTCAGGCAAGTGTGGATTGTGGATGGTGGTGAGACTCAAGGGATAGCATTCACAATAGGGAGTGTGGGTGGACCCTACAGAAAGTAAACGTTATGAAGTGGTTATGGAAAATTCTTCACTCATGATTGCAGCATGATAATGGTGGTGGAACCCACTTATTCACTGAAGAACAAACTTTTATTTGTATGTGACACAGCAGCATAGAGCATGAACTGTTTTCATTTATGGACCTTTTGCAAACTTTATTTTAACACCTTTTCCATACTGATTTAAGTCAGTACATGGGGTATTGTTTTTGGTACACCAGTTATTTGTTTGTTCCTGTTTGAAAGTATTGTGTGCGGTTATGTTGCGCCGCACTATTTGGTATGGTATGGCAACACAGTGTGAGCAGCAACATTCGTATTATCTATTTATTCAATGCAGGAGGGAACATTAACAAAAAGGAAAACCGTGGTTGGGTTTGAAGTTCTAACTCATCCCCACTTCATAAAAAAGCTGATATTAATATTTAATTTTTACATCTGCATGATCAAAGTGCTGACCACATATCTAGTACAGGCGTACCTCGGTTTACGAACTCCTCGGTTAACGTAATTTTTGGTTTACGAATGAAAATCCATTGAAATTAATGCCTCGGTTTACAATTTGTTTTCGCAATACGAACGGATTAATTGGTTTTCAATGCATTTACAATTTTTTTTTAATCATGTCCCTTTATTAAAGTGCACTTTAAAGGTATAAAGGGTTTTGAACAGATGAGACTTTTTTTTTTTTTAACTTTTTTCTGACCCCCGGAATGGATTAATTGGTTTTCAATGCATTTACGAATTTTTTTTCGCAATACAAATGGATTAATTGGTTTTCAATGCATTTACAAATTAATTTTTTAATCATGTGCCCCTGTACAGTATTTATGCCTTTAAAGTACATTGGTTTAAAGAGTTTTGAACAGATAAAACCCTTTTGGTGTTTGTCTGACCTCTGGAATGGATTAATTTGGTTTTCAATGCAGTCCTATGGGAAACCGTGTTTCAGTTTACAAATTTTTCTCAATATGAAAAGTCCTACAGAACGCATTAAATTCGTAAACCGAGGTACGCCTGTATATGGGAAGACTAACACCCATAAATACTGGCTTGGGAGGAAAACCATTTTTAAAGAGTGCTGAAATTTCCATTATGAAGCAGCTGTTTTTGTTCACTAGAAACTAACATTGTTACAGCACTAAGCTCCATGTTCCTCATGCTTTAACGCCATTTCTAGCGGATTAATTTACAATTTATTTACACAACCTGAACACCACAATGCTATCCGGTTTTCATACCCAGCATGCCCATCCCCTTTTTTGTTTTGTTCTTTGTTTCCTGGTACCATTTTCCATTCAGTTGACAGAGATCTTACTGGGTTGCTTTACTCTTTGATCAACATAAAGAAAAATGGAAAGAGGAAGAACGTGGAAGGAAATTGCACAAGAAATCACACACAACATACCCTGCATAGCCTTTCAGGGCACTGACAAAGCAAACGTAGGAGGAAGTATAGACCATTTGCACTTAATGCTAAACGCCTGGTAGTTAGTTCTAAAATATAAATATATAAATGCAGCGCTTAAGAGTGATAATCATTGGTGTCAACACAGTCCGATGAAAGGAGTGCTCCGTGATTCCTAGTGCAAATGGTGGAAATTTACACTAACCAGAAAGCGTAAATTAAAACGCATGTGTGTATAAATCCTATGAGATCGCCTTCTCCACTCGGATCTGGTCAGAAGAATAGCCGGGAAAGGTAGATGTCCTGCGCCCTCATGTGGTGAAAGTGTGGTCCAGCAGGTCAGAAAGATGCCAATCTGAGAAAAGTCTCCCCCGTCTTAGAAGATCCTGAGGGGCTGTGAAAAGGCAAGAAGCTCCTCACAGGAGACACAGGGGAGTACTCATAGTGTAGTAGATAGTAGATATGGCTTTATTTATAAAACATCTGTGCACAATGAACAGGGTATAGGCAGATATGGATGAAACACACTGACCCCTTGATAACAAAGATGGCCGCCGGGCCTCCTCGTGGCGCCGGCGGCTTAGTGTCAACGGCGTCCTGGGTCCCACCTGACGCGTTTCGTGCGCACGCACTTCTTCAGAGGTAGGAACAAGAAGTGCGTGCGCACGAAACGCGTCAGGTGGGACCCAGGACGCCGTTGACACTAAGCCGCCGGCGCCACGAGGAGGCCCGGCGGCCATCTTTGTTATCAATGGGGTCAGTGTGTTTCATCCATATCTGCCTATACCCTGTTCATTGTGCACAGATGTTTTATCGCAAATAAAGCCATATCTACTATCTACTACACTATGAGTACTCCCCTGTGTCTCCTGTGAGGAGCTTCTTGCCTTTTTCACAGCCCCTCAGGATCTTCTAAGACGGGGGAGACTTTTCTCAGATTGGCATCTTTCTGACCTGCTGGACCACACTTTCACCACATGAGGGCGCAGGACATCTACCTTTCCCGGCTATTCTTCTGACCAGATCCGAGTGGAGAAGGCGATCTCATAGGATTTATACACACATGCGTTTTAATTTACGCTTTCTGGTTAGTGTAAATTTCCACCATTTGCACTAGGAATCACGGAGCACTCCTTTCATCGGACTGTGTTTATCACTCTTAAGCGCTGCATTTTATATATTTATGTATTACTGGGTTGCTTTGTGGGACTTCTTATGCGTTTTCCTATATGTTCAGGGCTGCTGCACCAGTATTGAGCGCTTACTGTTTATTCTATTCTATAGTTCTAAAATATAATCATTTATCTAGGAATGTGTTCATTAAAATGTATACAGCCAGTATAAATGCCTACATTTTATCTTGGTTTGCTTCCTGCAATCCGCAGGACAGAGCGGAAAGGTCAGCACTGTGACCCTGTCAGTATGTATTGATTTGCACAGTTGTGTTAGGCTACAATTATGAAGATACTTACAGGGGGAATGAGCATAGGAACATCATCAATGTGCTGCCTCTTATGGGATAGGGGTCTTGTTTTCTGTGCCCAGAAGGAAGCTTGCAGATGTTACTGTAAATTGGAGCATATATGAAGTCCTGAGGTTAAGCATTTTACTTGGGGTTCTGCTTTCAATTGTATGATAGTTTGTGGGTGCGTGCGAGTAGGAAGCAAAAATGAAAGGGTCAGGTCTGCCAATGACTTCTGCGGTCTGTTAGTTTTGATATTATTTATTACAGGTACTTGTATAGCGTCATCAATTTAGGCAGCGCTATATATATATATATATATATATATATATATACACATACATACATGCATTTTTATATATATATGTGTGCGTGTGTATGTGTGTGTATGTATGTATGTGTATATATATATATATATATATATATATATATATATATATATATATCCCCGACCTGCCTTCCTGCTAATCCTTATTGTGTTCTCCAGATCTTCAGTGTAAAATACATCACCATGAGTGGGAGCACCACTCTGTAATTGTGACTGGTATGCAGACATGAGAATATCAAGTGGAACTTAACTGTATCTGAGCACCACAAACCGAAAATGTTATTTAATTCACTTTTAAAATTCGCTACAAACTCAACCATCCATCCAACGTCTGTGTTGTATTCTTATTTTGAGTAATCACTTTGATAAGCTCCCTCCCAGCATTCTCTAGCTGTGGCCATCTTGGGTAAGGGCAGATGATTCATGGTAGCATTTACTTTCTGAAATCAGTCTGTCCTTGCTGTGAAACCGCCCTAGAAAAATCTTGCACAATGCAGGACAATATACGCTGGCTACAGGTCAGGCATGCAGGCAGGAGAGCGTGTTAAGCTGAGAAAGATCCTCCTTCAGATACAAATATGATATATGAGTAAATATGATATACCTTCCTATCTATTTACTAATGCTATCAGCATACACATGTTCCAAATTATTATGCAAATTCTATTTAAGTGTCACAAAGATTTAAATATTTTGTTTTTCAGTTTAACTCATGGATGGCATTGTGTGTCAGGGCTCTTTTGATCACTGAAAACAATCTCGGACACCTGTGATAATTAGATTGGCAGGTGGGCCCAATTTAAGGAAAAACTACTAAAGGAGGGTGTTCCACATTATTAAGCAGAGCACCATTTTCAAGCAATAAGGGGAAGAAAAAGGATCTCTCTGCTGCCGAAAAGAGTGAAATAGTTCAATGCCTTGGACGAGGTATGAAAACATTAGATATTTCACGAAAACTTAAGCGTGATCATCGCACTATTAAGAGATTTGTGGCTGATTCAGAGCACAGATGGGTTCGTGCAGATAAAGGCACATTGAGGAAGATTTCTGCCAGATCCATGCATCGGATCAAGAGAGCAGCTGCTACAATACCATTACATAGCAGCAAACAGATATTTGAAGCTGCTGGTGCCTCTGGAGTCCCACGGACATCAAGGTGTAGAGTCCTCCAGAGTCTTGCAACTGTGCATAAACCTTCTATTCAGCCACCACTAACCAATGCTCACAAGCAGAAACAACTGCATTGGGCAGAAAAATACATGAAGACTAATTTTCAAACAGTCCTGTTCACTGATGAGTGCCGTGCAACCCTGGATGGTCCAGATGGATGGAGTAGTGGATGGTTGGTGGACGGCCACCCTGTTCCAACAAGGCTGCGACGTCAGCAAGGCAGTGGTGTAGTCATGTTTTGGTTCGGAATCATGGGAACAGAGCTGGTCGGCCCCTTTAGGGTCCCCGAAGGTGTAAAGATGACCTCTGCAAAGTATGTGGAGTTTATGACTGACCATTTTCTTCCCTGGTACAGAAGGAAGAACTATGCTTTTCTGTAATAAAATCATCTTCATGCATGACAATGCACCATCTCATGCTGCAAAGAATACCTCTGCATCAATGGCTGCTATGGGGATAAAAGGAGAGAAAGTCATGCTGTGGCCTCCATCCTCCCCTGACCTCAATCCTATTGAGAACCTTTGGAGCATCCTCAAGCAAAAGATCTATGAGGGTGGGAGGCAGTTTACATCCAAACAGCAGCTCTGGGAGGCAATTCTGACATCTTGCAAACAAACTCAAGCAGAAACTATCCAAAAACTCACAAGTTCAATGGATGCAAGACTTGTGAAGCTGCTATCAAAAAACGGGTCCCATGTTAAAATGTAACGTGACCTGTTAAAATGTTTAAAAAGTTAAAATGTTGTTAAAGGTTTGATTGAAATAGCTTTTGATTTCAGTAAATATGCTGCAAACACAACAAATGGCAATTTTCAGTTCTTTACAACCTATGAAGTGTTTTGAAACTTACTGTGCGGAATAATTTGGAACAGTGCATTGGAAGTGTTTTATGTTTACCAAAAATCCTGTTATCATTAGAAGGTTTGTTCAGTAAAATTTGAATTGTACTCTTAATAGTTGATAACATGAGAATTATGCTGACTGTTATTTACAGCAATTATTTAGGTAAATGAGAAAAATATCATTTGTATAATAATTTGGAACACGGTGTAAGGATTAACACTTGTTCAAGTTTGAGAGCGTAAAGTTCCACTTTCAGTACAGAGATCTTACCAGTTGAGTACTTATTGGGTATTAGCAGCCACTAGGTGGTTTAAAATTGCAGCATCTGCCAGAAAGTGAAATGTTCATTTTAGGTGAAACGGACCCTTTTAAAAGGTGTGAAGAGTCCAAGACTGGCCATACATCAGTCCTTCTTTTTTTTTTTTTCTATTCAACCAGCGGGTTGAACGAAAAAGCAAGCTCCGTTTCTCCCATCCACAGATTTGATGTAGATGGAGGAATGCTTACCGCTGTACTATTGCATTCTGCCAGCGGGGAGTCTTCCCCCGCTGGCAGAATACAATTTATTTATTTCAGGTACTTATATAGTGCTGTCAGTTTACGCCGCGCTTTTTACATATATATTGTACATTCACATCAGTTCCTAACCCTCAAGGGGTGTACAATCTAAAGTACAATAATTACTGTTGATGGCTATAGCCAGCAGGCACTGATTGTTCAGAAAATATCTGACAGGCTGGTTATACAGTCATACATAGGTCAATAGAAAGATCGACTTGTGTGCAACCCAATAGCCCATACATGGATCAAAATTCAGCCAGTTCCTGCTGGACTGGATACATTTTGATCCATGTATGGTCGGCTTAACTCTGTTAACCGCATGTTGCTGTGCTCACTGTGGTGGCCCTAGAGTGCTCCTTTACATAGAAAAAGCAGGTCATGTATAGACCAGACAATTACATTATCACCTCTGCTGCTTAATTATGTGAAGTAATAAGGAGTTATTTACAGTTTGTGACCATAATGTAAACTACTCCATAAACTAAACTGTCTCCCAGCATTACACATTCAGGTCAAAGCTGACAGAAGTTATGACCTGCATAGTAGCTTCAGGTAGTGAAGCCAAATGGGGCAGATTTATTACCCTGGTAAGTGACTCCTAAGTTAAGGAATATCAGCCTCACTGAGGGGCTTGAGCCTTTTTGTTCTTTCAGATTCCCTTTATAGTATACTGTAACTGTTCTTTATAACAAATCCCAAGTCCTGTCTGACTGATTTGTTTTTCTGTTTCCCTGCAGGTATCTGAAGCACACATTGGACCAGTATGTGGAAAGTGATTATACTTTGATCTACCTGCACCATGGCCTAACCAGTGAGAACAAGCCCTCTCTGGGTTGGCTAAGAGATGCGTACCGAGAGTTTGACCGCAAGTAAGAACATAACTCTGCTCTTCGTATCCGAATAAAGAACTGTCTCTATTGGTCCATAGCAAATCATCAAATTCTCCCTTTTATTCCACTGCTTTCCAAATGTGTAGGTGGTAAAAGATTCCAGATAGTGATAAAACTTCCTTGCCCTCTCATGTCTCACACATTTCTATTGGCCAACGAAGCAGTCTATCATTGTGATGGATAAATGGAAATGCTTGTGGGTGGACAAGTTACGACACTTTCTGGAAGTGTCAGAGTTTTGCCCTGTAAGATTATGTCATAATGTGGCCCCGCTGACAGCAGAATTTAGTATCTGCCCTCTGATAGAAAGTGCATTGGTGCTCAACAGAGAGAACAGGCCAAATGGGGAGCCTGGAGCACCCAGAGTTGGACTTGAAGGTGCCCACAGTCAACACAGTATTTTCCCAGTCCAATCACTTGCACTCAGATCAGGAAATGACAGATACTCCACGCCAAAGGTTATGAAGAGGAGAAATGATCATTCAGCTGGGATTTTTTTTTTTTTTTTTATTTAATTCCGAATAATAGCAGTATTAGAGAATGCCCAGCTGTTCTGATAGGAAGTATGAATACTACTAATTGGCTTGCTTTTTGGATAAAATCTTGATATTAACAGGAAACATATTTGAAGTGTTTATTCACCTTTGTTACCCCCGCTGTGCTGTGGTAAATGAGGAATCCAGCAGAGCTGGCACAGAGCAGTATACAAATGAAATGAATACAGCTGCCTGCTCTGCCTTTCATCTCTGCTGTGTCCATGGAGAAGGTCTTGTACAGGAAAGACAAGTGCTCCATACCAGCTATTGAGCTATTTGTTTATATCCCTGTGACATCAGGAGAGAGGAAACTATGTGGAAGGAACGGTGCTGTGAAGTCTGTTTTCCCTATTCTCTTGTTTAGTAATAATTTGTTTCTTGCAGACTGAACCGTAAAGCTGGTTATAGATGTGGGATTATCATAGGAAGAGCTGCTCAACAATTAGTCAATTTTTAGTTTTATTTTTCTGTTATTCATTTTTTATTTTTTTAGAATGATTGTGGCATAAACATGCACACCTGCCGAGGCAGAATCCCCTGCCATAGGCCTATTTTTTTTAAAACTGGTAGGGTTCAGAAGACAAAACAGTTCATCCACTTTCTTCTCCATTATTGGGGGGCTCTGGGTTTTCTGCAGAGGTTGATTTTTTTTTTTTTTTTTCCATGGACTTCTTGAGCTACTATTGGTGCTTCAGTTTTACCTCAAGGGTCTGATTTAAAGTGGTTCTAAAGCAGGGGTGCTCAACCAGTGGCCCCCCCAGAGCCCTCTGGTGTGGCCCCTGGACCTCAGTCTGAGAGCAGGTGTTTTGGTGTACTTTCAGAAAGTGCACCACACCCGCAAGATATAATAGAAGTCTATGTCAAAGCGCAGGTAACCCCCAGGAAAGCCGCAGGTGCTGCATGGTGAAGACAGCCTTTATAGGGCACTCAGGACAGTATGGGCTTATTATACTTTTGGGGAGCAGGTGGGTTTACCACCCCCCTCCCCCCAAACCACTGGTGTAGCATCAAGGGTTGCAATGGCAAACCCCACCCCATGTTCCAGGGGACCTGTGCAGCCTCCCTATCACATTCCAGTTGACACTTGGACCAGTGGGGGTGGCATATACAGGAACAGGTCCTCTCCATTTTCCTCCTGCAACTGCTGAAAGCGGTTCTCATCCTATACAAAATAAAAAAAAAAAATAAAAAACAAAAAACAATAACCCTGAAATTGACACTCAGTCACACTTTTACCCTTGAAAGTCCAAAATAATAATAAACCCTCTTAGTGTCAGTGAATCTTCTCAATTCTTTATTCCTTTGATATATTAATCCCAGTACGTGGTCCACTTCTGCCATATACTTCCAAAAATATATATAAAGAACTAGATAGTGTATTATCCTCAACATTCAAATGATCATAACATATATAAATATAAATAAATTGCCAATATGTGAAAAAACTGTGAAACACGTGACAAAGTGAAAACACTCCATGAGCACTTCTATGTGGCTAGAGTAAATACTCTTACCCTAAATAAAATAAACCAAAGCCTTTAGGATAATTTTCCCAATACGCAATCTCCAAAAAATTCCTCCAGAATCATTCCATAATAGCTGTGCAAAATACAGGCCTATCTCATGTACTCAAGCATGATATAAAGATACACTTCTCAAGGCCGTCCATAGAATATCACCCAGAAGGAAAGAAAGGACTATATAGTGTAGTATTCAAATTAAATCAGTTGAGGCTTTAATAAAATATGCTTACATCAATCTAGTAATAAAACCGCACGTATTCCCATACGGCAGGAGCTTCCAAGGAGCTTCCAGGAACACATGTATTGATATCACCTTAGTAAAGATGGCCGCTCCGCTACTTCCGGTCAATCTGTAACGTCCGACGCGTTTCATCATCACTTCCGACTTCCTCATATTATTAATAGCAGCACTAGGATGCACATAGCATTTACATTTGTAATTTATGAGTGAAGCGCGGCACAATTTTGGTATTTAGTATTGCTTTGACACACTAGTATGAGTATGTGTTAGGTGTGGGCGATTCACAATCCGTAATTAGAAGCTATTTTCACTTACATAGCCGCTCACAAGCTTTATACATTTATATATTGGGTCAATGCATCCACCTAGGTAAGTATGATATGAGAAAAAAAACAAAAACAAAGCCGTACTTCTCTTTTAAAGCTAAACTCAGAACAACTGGCTGAATACATGTATCAGAACTGGTTTACCTGGATTTATAGTTGTGTTCAGCCAGTCTTGTGATGCAGATAATATGGCCAGACAACAGAGCTGGATCCTTGATCTCCAGTCCAGACTAAATTGCAAACCAACAGTAGAGTCTGGTTTTTGGCCTGGCATAGCCTGTGACTAGATAATGAAGTAGCAGATACTGATGTTTTATGCTTGTGCTCCCCTCCTCTGAAACCATTACATAGCTGTAGGGCCTTGACTGGTTCAGAGTGCTGACCCTTCCTCTCCCAATCTGACTGCTGATATGTAGAGGATTAAAGAATGTTGATGTCAGGGCATGTTCAGTTACTTTTTGCTTGTTTTATTGTAATCGTCATTCTTCCTTTTCAGAAAAGGGAGAACAGGAATTTTGCCCTTGCAGGGAGTACACAGCAGCATAAATATACATCAGTTGTTGTCGTCATAGAACCAGGAAGGAGGGCAAGTCTTGACATATTCCAGGCCTGAGCCCTGGTTCACACTGATGTGGAATTCGCAGCATTTTCTGTGCGAATTCCGCACCGCATCAGAATCGCACCCCATTCATGCGAACCGCTGTGGGTTTATATGTTAAACACCCCGCAAGACGAGGTGCGATGTCCAGAATCGGATCGCATAGGTGTGAATACCCATGCGATCCGATTCTAGTGCGGACCAAAAAGGGTCCTGCACCTTTTGGTGCCATGCGAATAGAGCCATACAAAATGTATGACTCCAATCGCACCGCACACAAATCGCATTTGATTTGTACAGGAATGCGGTGCGGTTCCTGTGCGAATCACATGAGATATACCGCACCGCATATATGTGAACCCGGGCTAAGAGGACAAGTTGGACATCCCAGTTAGTGTCCTAAACTGAGGCTAGCCAAGTATCAAACCTCTAAAACAAGCTTGAAAAAAAGGGAGCAGGAAAAGGGGAAGGTGAGAACCAGGATATGATGAGCAAAAAGGTAGAGGGGGGGTTCCCCTCTGGGGCTCAGATCTAAACACTATACAAGTGTGTTTATAGGTAACTAAGGGTAGTTGGATCCAGGGAAGACAGCGTAACAGAGCCAGAGTTCCCAAACTATAAGAAATTTTGGTTGTGAATCAGTAAGAATGTCAGGTTTTCATTAACAAGTAACGTATTCGTAAACATTTTAACCTCGGCTAAAGTATCTCTAGGCCTCTTCCTTGCATTAGCAATGCAAAGTCCAAAAACCCTTTACACATAGGGAGAGCCTGGATATCAAACACAAAAGATCTTATTAATAAGTAAGACTCCTTGAGCAGCTACCTGGTGACCCTCACAAGGGGATGTACACTGAAAAGAAAAAGCAACAAAAGAAATAAGAGACGCTTCTAAAAATATCAATAGATTCAGATTTAGAAATTGAATCCAGGTAAAATGCTTACCTTTTGCAGGTGGCTGAGAAAATACAAACAGCCATGGATATTAATTATTTGCCTTGTGTTCCAAAATGTGTTGCCAATGATCTTCAATCACTAGTAGATAACATCTAAATGTAGCTACATTTGGCAGCAGAGATGTACCTACAGGAAAGGGCTCGCCAGGTTTTGATGCTGAGTATCACCCCCGGTTCACATCTCTGCGGCCGTGCGGGCCGCATTTTGCGCTGGCACGAGAGCCCATTCATTTGAATGGACTCCTGTGCCCGTGACATGCAGGGAAAAAGTCCCTGCACTTCTTTGGAAAATGCAGCCCGCATGGGAACCTCCGTTCCCAGTACAGTTGCATTTTCCAGTGCGGGCGGCGTGCCTAATGGCACCCGCCCGCCGGTCCGCTATTCTCTGTGCGGGTGGTGCGGCTGCACGGATTTTCGTGCGGGTCCGCAGTGGCACCACCGGCACAATGTGAACCTAGGGTAATATCACTTGGCTCAAGTGCTAACAGGTGTGTTTCCATAAAGTGCAAATCAGAGGATGTCATTGCTACCAGGTTTCATAGATAACAAAAAAAAAAAAAAAATGACCCAAGTTTAAAAAAGTTAAAAACTCAACGTGTTTCAGAACATACATTGCTATCTTTACAGGAGCTACAGACAATGAAAGAAAAACATTCTAGGAGTGGAAAAAACACCTGTGCATGGGTGTGGAAGGCTAGGAACACAAATATTCAGTGGAACTCAGATGTGTGCGAAACTTCAATGGGTGGGCCAGGCTTTGCAGCTCCCATATAAGAGTGGGAGTCCAGATGCAACTGCATATTTTATCCACATTTTAATAAAGAGTTCTCAGGGATAATGTGCTATGCCAGTGCGCTCTTGTTTTATTCCTCCTGCAATGAATAAAACATGATTTTCTATAATACACAGTATTGTGTTTTCCTGACCACCTGCAAACGTACGCATTTCACATTGATTCTCTTTCTAAATCTTTTGATACTCTTAGAAGTGCTCCATTTCTTCTGTTTCTTTACAGTGTATTAGTGGTGGGCTCTCTGGCTGCAACAATAGCAAAGTAGTAGTAGTAATAAAGAGGAGCAGCAGGTTTTTGCTGTTCACAGTGTGAACCAAGACTGCAAAAGGGCCATTACTGAGTGTAATATAAAACAGTTTAGAGGAGGCCAGCGTTTCTAGATCAAAAAGAAATCTGATTCGGGCTGGACCACAAGACATGGAAGGAACGCCTGAAGTTGGAGCAAGATGGTTCAGCTCGTTCGTGTCCCAAGGGATGTAACTGAAAATGGCATTTTTAGCTGGACTTGACACCTTAACTTTATATCTGTTCTTGTCTTCTTTACAGATACAAGAAGAACATCAAGGCTTTGTACATTGTCCACCCCACAATGTTCATCAAGACATTACTGGTTCTGTTTAAACCTATTATCAGGTGAGACGTCTGAATGGTGTTCTCTTACTGCGAACATATTCTCCACTGACCAGCCACGGTTATACATACCAAGCACATAGGCTTTTTTATAGCAGTTTAGGTAGTTGCTACATTTATATTATCATTTACACAAGTGTTAAATAATTGAAAGTTGGTTAAAAACGTACAAGGAAATGTTCTGATTTCATAGGAATAATGCTACGTGACTCCAAAGAACTCTCTTCATACTTACCAGTACTTCTTCTTACATGGTTTCTTTTCTCTTGTATCTAAAATGGTTTTTTTTTTTTTCTAGTTTCTAGGAAAGTTCACCCACTCAAGGCTTTAATACTTTAGTTGGCATTATCACAAACATTATCACAGAGGAAGCTACAACTATATGTATATATGTGTGTGTGTGTGTGTGTGTGTATATATGCACATACATGCATACACACACACACACACACATATGTGTGTGTGTGTGTATATATGTATATATGTGTATATATATATATATATATATATATATATATGTATGTATGTATGTGTATGTATATATATAATATACATATATATATATATATATATGCACATACACACACACACACACACACACACATACATTGTGTGTGTGTGTATATATATATGTATGTATGTATGTGTATGTATATATATATATATATATATGTTTGTTTGTTTGAACAGAGTTTGGAAAGGGTTAGAACAAGTTTTTAATTGGTGTCCCTCCCCTATGACAAAGGCTTCCCTGTCCTTCCTGTCCTAATGACTGCAGTCCCCAGGACAGGAAGTGAGCGTAATCTTTTTATTAGGGAAGCGGCCTTCCATATGTAACTCCTTTCATATGTACTGTTGGTGTAACCACTTGTTGACCAGTCACGTACTTGGTACATCACTGGACTTCAAGTGGTTGTGCCGGGATGATGCCTGCGGTTGCAGGCATCATCCTAGTACCATTTTTTTTTTTTTTTAGCTGATTGCCGTCTCTCTTATAATAGCAATCTGAGCAGCTAACTAGCCGCTCGATTGCTTTTACCAGCAACGGGATGGGACATTCCGCCTGCTGTCGCCTTACGTGGCTTTAACTGGATGTCCCGTCCCACTGGGAGTCCTGATCGACCAGCCGGTGGCTTTGTTCGGCTCTGTTACATAGTAACTCAGAAGCGATGGTGCAGCATTACTTCTGGTTTACTTGGAAACACAAAGCCCCATTAAAAAAAAAAAAAGCATTCTATCGCAACAATCTTGGTGTTATTAATTGCTTTTAGGGGCAGAAGTTGGATTTGAGGTCTTATTTATTGCCAAATCTCTCCATAAAGAGTACCTGTCACATAGCTATTGCTGTTTACATTCCTTGTGACAGCAATAAAAGTGATTTAAAAAAAAAAAATTAGGTTCTTCTTGGCTATCAAGGATTAAAAGAAGCAGGAATCAAAAACAGGCGATCTCTGAAAACTTCTCTCTTCAGGGAAGCCAATCCTGCCTTCAGCTAATAACACAATCTTCTATTCCTTCTACCAGTCCATCCCCCACAGTTATTACCTTTTGTACCACTAGCCCCTCCCTCTTACATTGTAAGCTACAAGGAGCAGGGCCTTCCTAACCCTCTTGTATTTATTTGTATTGTAAATGTATTGTCTCCTTTTATTTTGTAAAGCGCTGAGCAAACTGTTGGCGCTATATAAATCCTGTATAACAATAATAAATACACAGGTAAAATGCTGCATAGACTGCAAAATAAAAGGCCGCCTGATGCGTGTTATTGTGTTGCTAGTTTGATTGAATAATGTCCCCCATATTGTTCAGAACTTTGATGCTTGCAAGAAGTAAGGGCTACACACAGCTGTAGTTTGATGGTAATGCTGTTAAAGTAGGAGAGGTGGAATATGTACTTGGTTCTTCCAAGATGAACATTCTAGTGCATTTCCTGGGGTGTGAAGTCATAATACTGGGCAGTTCAAACTACAGTAGAATACTGAACTACATCCATATACTCTAGGCCACAAAGCTCCATGAACAGAATAGAAAACAATGGTAAACAATAAAGGTAATATGAGATTATTTTTCATTTTGTCTTCCAGCTTCAAGTTTGGTCGGAAGATTTTTTATGCAAATTATCTGAGTGAATTGGAGGATATTGTCAAGTTGGAGCAGTTGGGGATTCCAAAATCAGTACTAGAGTAAGAATTTTGGACATATCTGAACTGAAAACCGTGAACTGCAGGTCAACTAAATTCATTGAGAAAATGTATGAAATGTTTTCTTGCAGATCCTGCCAGCCTCTGTCTTGTATGTTTTGATGGAGGCCATTGTGTCGCACTTGCCAACATTGGTTTTATTGAAGTTGGCTTTACTATAACTACATGATCAGGCCTAGAGTTAGTGAGTGTAGAAAGTATTGCATCAGCAGCATCCCCATAAGGGCGCATGTAAATTTGCAATACGTGTTTTATACCAGTGCAGTAAACCTATTTGCTTTTGGAAGACTAATAAATACAACAGGCTTATTACAATCTCTGTGCAGGATTCTGGAAAAGATAGACTCTTTTATTCTGAAAAATGTAGACTATAGATGAAGTTTTAACATGGTTGCCAGAATAGAATTTAAAGTGATAGACCATGACTGGCTGCAGGTTGAAATTGCATAATTATTTAAATAGCAGAAAAACAAACGGGAGTTCAACCTTTCAAAAAAGGAAGACCAATCTTAAGGACCTGAACTCCAGGCAAATGGCTGGCTCCAAAATCTGAATGAATTAGAATTAGAACTCTGGTGCATACCAAAGCATTTAGAACTCTTCAGCTAGATTTGTGATCCAGACATCATTTCTGCAGCATACCTAGGTCCAGAGGCGGACTGACCATTTCGTAACTCGGGCACTGCCTGAGGGCCCGGGGTCAGTAGGGGTGCCCCATGAGATGCCCCTGGTACCTTTTTCATCTGCTTTTTTGAGTTTGGGCAAGGACACAGGGGCCCCATAATCCCCTATTGCCCGGGGGCCCCATGAGTTGTCAGTCCGCCCCTGCCTAGGTTCTAATCTCCTTAAAAGGTCCCTGCAGACTATAGTGTAGCAGCTGAGCGATACAACCTGATTCAGGAAGAAGTAGAAGCACACAATATATATCTGCTCTGTCCTCTGATCAGGTACCTAGCAGTGTTGGAAGGGGTGGGAAGAACTTAAAGAAGGGGTGGGAACCCTCACCTTGTAAAACAACCCATTTAGTTTAAAATAGAAATGAAAGCAAAACATTTGTGTATAGATATAAAAAATAAATATTTTTTTTTTACTTTTTTACTTTTTTTTTATAAGTGATCACATACCCTCTGTTCTCAGCTGCATAAGGAGCTGAGAATGCTGAGGGAGGAGAAGCAGCAGCACACTGATCTTCCCAGTGAATGGCTGTGTGGGAGGGGGGTGTCAGCACAAATCTGATCATTGGAGGAGAGCAGGTTGAGTTCTGAGCACAACCAGAAAACTGATCACCCTGTGCACTCAAGGGGATTTCAGAAAAATGCTAGCAAATGAGATTCAGGCAGGCACTATTGGCAGTTGAATGGAAAAAATATATATAGTTATTTTTTATGAAAATTGGATTGAGCTTTTTTTTTTTTTTTTTTTTGTATATAATATATACATATGCTTGTTTTTTGCTACCTCCTTTGTGAAGACTTCTTTTGGATGCAAGTACAACAAGATCCTAGATCCCTTGTGCCCAACCTATGTCCCAAGGGCCACGTGCGGCCCTTCGGTGTTTGAAGGTCAACCGTTGGTCTCCAGCAGTCAAAGCTTTGATTTGTAAAGGTTGCCTTTTTATAACCGTAATCTCTTGCAGTTTTCACGCTACATGTCCTTAGTCTCTAGCTGTCTCCGACAGCAAGACTTCTGTCTCCAGCCACGCCTGTAGAACAGTCACTCTCCATTTACTGTACCTTGTAAGTAGAATTAATGTGTGGATTCGCTAACTTCTCAGCCTCTACCAAAAACTGAACTATCAGTTTTAGGTCGACTGATCTACTAAGCTGCAGATATTTTGAGCCATTTGTCTCCTATGCTTGGCTTTCAAGATAATGTATTTCCCTGAACTTTTTCCTTTACTCAAGGTATGACAAGGTTATCCGCTCTACCATGAAGCCCCCATCAGCCAACCAGAAGACCGCTCCTCCTCGGCCGCCTCTGCCTAACCAGCAGTTTGGTGTCTCTTTGCAGCAGTGAGTATTTTGCACTAGCTCTGCCTCTGCTGTCCCCGAATCTCCACTCTTACCTTCCACGTTTTGTATGCAGGTTGAGGGAGAAGCGCCCAGACAATGAGAAGATTCCCCAGGTTGTACAGGAAACAGTGAACTATCTTCGGCAGAATGGTAAGTAGTCTGAGATCCTCTATCTCTCATGGCTTTAGCCTTGTACAACTCTTTCCTCCACTTTTTACAAAAATTATTCAGGCTCCATGCACACTAGCACTTTTTTTTTAAGTTCAAAAAATGCTGGAAAAAACACTGGATAAAAACCGCTGTTAATAGAGTTTTTAGTAGTGTTTAAGTAGCATTTAGTGTGTTTTTTATACTGGGAAAACGCTCCCAAAAAACTCTACAAAAACAATTTTTTTTTCTGCTCCTAGAAGCTGAAATTCAAAAAATGCTAATAGCCTAATGTAGTGTGCATGGACACCTATGATAACACTATTTTGCTTCTAGGAGCAGAAAAACAAATGCTATTACCAGCTTCTAGGAGCTTAAAAAAACACTAGTGTGCATGGAGCCTGAACCTGTCAGATTTTTATAAACCAATTTTCTGGAAGCTGTCCAATAGTAGGCGGCGCCACACCCACCACAGGAGGAGCTAGCAGAAGGGTTCCGTGTGGATAACAGAGTCACGTTCAACCATCATATTCGTTATCTGAAAAGTCACACATTTGCTTCTTATCTACCCCAAAACGTCTTCTCAACTACCCCAGACTTAAGGATTTCTGACTTCTCAAGCAAGTAGACGCCTTTAAACAGGTTTTTATCTCCTAATGTGAGGTTAGATGTCATAAACACGTTCAGTTTCCATAAACAAGTTTTTATCTTATTCTCAGCAGAATTACTTGTGACTTTGGCCTACAGAAATGACACATCAGTCACCTTTCATGCCCCTGGCATTTGGGCAACAATGCTTTATTGTAAAAATTACCCAAGAAACAAAGGGTCCAAGGCCAACACATTTCTTTGGCATTACACTTACAGTTACTATTAAGTAAAGATCCCACTGCAGCCTGAACATGGTTGTGTTTATCTTCAGGCTGAGGACTTATCTTGTCAATGAAGCCTCCAGCCTGCATTTGTCATAGCTGACATTAGTGATTGCAAGACCAGTAATAATTCGAATTGGTTCTCATTGTCAGTGGGGACCTGAGTGGTCTGTTGATTGAGAGCCAGCAGCTCTGCAAAATGTTGGCTGCTGGCTGTAAAATGGGAGGACCTTTCTTTAGGGTCTCTCTGTATTATCTGTATTGTCCTGGGGAACGTTGATAAACTGATTGTGGGAAGGGGTTAATGGCTTTTTGTTCGGGATGGGTGGAATAAGTTGTTGCTCTATTTCTGTGGGCGTATTGCAAACATTGTTCTGTGTCTGTCCAGCCAAATGTCAGGAAATGAGTCCTTATCACTCTTCAGGGTTAAGATGCAATTTCCTTTTAAATCATGAAAACATGCCATTCAAATTCATAGCACTGTCCTCAGTATGAGGACCTAATGGTAATACATTCATGTGTCTGTGTCACAGTACATTAATAGTTACTTCTACCACGGAGGGTCTGAAAAGACTGCCAAGTGTTTTTTTCTTTAACCATCAAAAATAGAATTTATGAGCAGAGTGGAGAATATGGACATCCGTAAACTCCAATATCTTATGTTTTTGGGCAGTTACACTTCAGACGTTGAAACATTGCCAGGGTATAACCAATTTGTAAGGGTTTAACCAATCAATTTGTAATTTTAAAGGTGGTTAAAGCAAAACCCTAGGCAGACTGCTAAATGCACAGCTTAAAGGGCAACCCCATGCCCAGATCGTTCGTTCTTTTTTTTTTCTTTTTTTTTTTCCCATCCACCTTTTTTGCTCCATTAGACTCCAGCACCATTGAATCCAGCATTGATCTGCCACATCTTTACTTCATCATCGAGAGCCAGCCCTCTTTTCCTAATTCAGGTAGCGCCCCCCGCCTCATCCCCCCCCCCCCCCACACACACACACACCTTCCCCCTCCAGCCACTGAGTGTATGCCAATGCTTACTGGGGTATCTGATGTGTATTTCCGAGGAGGCACCAGGAGCGGGATGCATTTCTCCCTCACCTAGGGAAGAATGCAGACTGGAGATGGGCTGGAGCATGCAGGGAAAAAAAGGTGAATAAACAAAAGAAAGTGGGCTTTTTAGATTGTGGACGATGAAGGGTTTAATTATGCAAAGTAATTTTTTGGAGTGAAGGTCTGCTTTTCATATACCTATGTTCATGGTTTTTCCTGCCATTCTGTTAAGTTAGTCTTTTGATTTACAAACCTCTGCTACATGGCACAGCCAGGCAGGTGAGGCTTTTATTTCCTGGTTCACCCTCAGATATATTCAATACAAGCACACCTACCTAGCTTTCTTTTTTAGACCAGAACTTCTCCTACTACCCCTATCAGTATGCCTAGTGTCCTGGGAAGCTAAACATATTTTTCTTCAGCTTCAGCTCTGTTCTTGGAAAAACTAACATGATGGTCTTTTCTTCCCTTTTCTTTCAATTAAGACACACTTCTGTATGCTGCTGGAGGCCTCCACTCCAATTGGCAGCACCAGTGTAGACCGTGCAGCATCCAGATTCTGCTGGACTGGACATTTCAAGGCTAGCATGAAATTCTCCAAGTTCTTGTTAGCTGTGGAGCATTGTCCAGCTTCAGAGGCTCTGGCATTGACTCTCTGCTTGCCCCGTCTCTCAAGAGTCACTCACTGAGTAAGCTAGTCGGGCCGAGCACCAGAAGCATTTTTTTTTTTTTTTTTTTTTTTTTTTTTTTTTTTTTTTTTTAACTTTTGAATAGAGCAGGAAAGGTCTATAACTTCATGTATTTCTGTTGGAGAAGTGTCCCCCCCCCCCCCCCATTTCTTGTCATAGGGGTTCACTCCCTGATGGGGATTTCCTCATCAGATTTGTAATATGGTTTCCATTCACTCAAGTTGCTGGACACCATTAATCTCTTGTTTTTTGAGGGTTTTCCCACAGAACACTGTGGGACTAATTGCTGATGCCATCTGCTGGGTGGAGCGTCATGTGCTCTGCACTCTATTTCCTACCATAAAGCGTTCTGTTGTTCCTGCTTGCAAAGGGACATGTTGATCTGTTGTTGCTGCTGCCTGTCTACAGGGACTTTGGTCACCTCCAGCCATCCAAGCCTCTAGTCACTGACCCTCACCCTTAGCTAGAAGCTGTTCAAATTTTGTGAGTACTCAGGGCCTTGCCTCTTACCCTGAGCCTATCTGCACTGTGGCCATCACATGTCTGCTTATGGGAGTGTCAGTCAAGTCATACAGGGTGCCCCAGCTCACTTTCAACTAACAGATTGGGGGCTGCCTGTAGTCTTCTAATTATATAGACCTCTGCAGCCTGGAGTCGTGTTTTTCTTTGATGTTAGTCTCTCCTCTCCTTTTTTCAGTCCTTGGTGTGTCAGGTGTGGCTGGGTCCTTTCCCCTCTCGGATTAAGTCTTTTACTATGGTCATGCAAGATTCTGTGAACAAACCAGTCATTTGCTGACCCTGATCGCAGAGGCCACAAACCCACTCCCGCACCCTCTCCAGCAGATTCAAAGTTAAAACAAATTGAAAAACAAGCCAATTATCATAGTGGTAAAGGATGTACCTTCCTTTTAAAGACCCAACCAATATATTGCCCCTTTCTCTTGGTAGGTCCCATTCTGCACCCTATTCTGGCTATGATTTTGCTTTGCCAAACCATGTCTGACCGGTCAAAATTTTTATACGAATCCATCTAACCACTACTGCGGTGGAACCCTCGCTTGTTGAATGTGGATGACTGTAGTTAAATTTCAGCTTTGATGGTTTATGGAGGCCTCCCATCTTATCTCTCTCATGTGCCTTCTGGCAGTGCATTTGCATTTGGCAGTTTGGTTAGTGTTGAAATGTTGGGCCTTTTGGCAAGAGCATTTGATACTCAAGGTCTATGAGGGACACAAAACCTTTATGGACCAGTTCTTAAATAACATCAAGGATGCCACTGCTGTCTTCAGAAAGATTGATTTTTTTTTTTGTCACTGGGTTCCCCCCTTACCTGGTAAAACTCACTTTAGTAGATCTGTGAGCATTTATTGGGCTTTTCAGCATTAGGTGATTGTCCCCCAGATTTGTAAGGCTGCCATTTTGTTTACTGTTCAAATGTTCTAACAGGTAGAAATATCTTGTATTTGATCCAGCTTTCCTTTTGTTCCCATATGTTGATTATGTTGTGACACCCAATGTATTATAATTATATTGTGTTTGGTATTATAAATCCATTGCCATAATATTACCGTTATCCTTTGGGCTGACATCTGCCTTTACCGCTTACAATGTCCACAAATAGAAGAACCAGCGTGTTTGCATGCTTTAACCTTTCACCCGGTGACCTTGCAGCTCTCGACACTGAGGGGATATTTCGGAGGTCGGCAAGCACTCAAGTGGTGCGGGAAATTCAGCAGGAATACAACAGGGGTGAGAACAATATAATGGTTTTGTTTTATTTTTGTTTCCAGAGTTTATTAGAATACCTTAAATGCATAAGTGTACATGCTATACAGGAGAGAGTTCATAGATTTTGTACCAAAGAATAACAAAAACAAACCATGCTGCCTAGATACTATAAAGGCAAGATATAAAACACAGTAGAATGCCAAAGAATAGCAGTGCATGTACAGCAGGACTAAAATACACAGTGTAAGAGCAAAACGCAAGTCCAAATATAGGATTTTTTTTTTTTTTATATTATTGAAAGAAATTGGTGTATGATTGTATAATCATAAAAGATCAAAGATACAGCAAGGCTGCCTGAGCTGTACTCATGGATGTCGAGTTTCAGAGAGGGAAACTCTAAGTCTTGCACATTTTATTTAATACAATTTTTTTTTTAATACTGTAAATGTATCTGACAATAGTATCGAACAAATGCACACTGTCCTCTTTAGGCTACAGTGCCATTTTCAGCCAAAAACATTTTTAAAATGCAGCTTCCAGCCTGCATATAATCACTATGTCATAGCTGATATAGTGAACACCTGATCCCTTTCATTAGTTCATGATTGTTGTTGGGAACTGGAGCTGTCAGGGCTCGTTCACACTTGGCTGTTTTACCAATGCTTGCCAAACGCCCCTATAGCGTTTGGCAAGCGTTGGTCCGGCGTTTGCCGAGCGGTTTTTAACGCTCCGCAAACGCCGCATGCGCGGTTTAGCGGCGGTTGCTTAGACGTTTGCCGAGCGTTAAAAACGCCCCACAAACGCCTACAATGCAGTTTGAATGGTGTTACCGCTCCGCAACCGCGTCGCAACCGCACCGCAAACGCCGGGCGTTTGCGGAGTGGCACCATAGACTAGTATAGGAGGCTTCAACGCCTCCTAACTCGACCAGAGGCGTCCGTTTTGACGCAACGTGACGCTAACGCTCCCGTTAGAACAGCACCATGTGCTGTAATGTGCAGAATTGGCAAAGGCGTTTGGGAAGCGGTAAAAACGCTTCCCAAACGCCTCTCTGCCACCTGCACACAACGCTAGTGTGAACGTAGCCTCAGTAAGCTAGGTTTGAGAGTTGGCATCATGTTCCTTAGACACCGAGCATGGTGCAATGGAGTAGACTACAAATTGTATCTGGGTAGCACTTTAACATTAGAAAAAAAAAAAAAAAAAATTTTTTTCTCTAAACAAAAACGCACTAATACCTGTTTCCACAGTTTTCCAGTATTCTAATAGCCACACCCCACCATTATCCCAGAATTCAGAGTTTCGGTGTTTGAGATAGTATACACTGTAGCCCAATGAGTGTTAGATTTACTAACCAGAGCAGCAGGGAACAGATTATTTTTCACGTTGGGTGTGATGGTCATCCTTTTTTTTTTTTTTTTTTTTTTTTTTCCCTTTCCATGACAATCCCAGTGCTGAGATCTTGTGGTTCTTTGAACTGAAAACTGTCCTCAATGCCACTTATTTTTTTTCCAGCTAATGTCTGATTGCCACCAGCTGACAGAGCTAATGACATACAGCTGTATGCAGTTAATATATGATATATGCTGTTTTTACCTGCCCAAACACTGTTTTCGTTTTCATCAGACAGCAGCAGAGATTTGCAAAAAGTAGCTTGACAACTTTATTTTCTGATTCAGATTTGCTGTTTACTTTAGGCTGGGTTCACACTTGTGCAGTGCGGTATATCGCATGTGATTCGCACAGGAACCGCACCGCATTCCTGTGCAAATCACATGCGATTTGTGTGCCGTGCGATTGAAGCCATACAGTTTGTATGGCTCAGATCGCACCGCATCCGCACCAAAAACATGCAGGACCCTTTTTTTGGTCCGTACTAGAATCCGATTGCATGGGTATTCACACCTATACGATCCGATTCTGCACATCGAACCGCGTTTTGCTGACCGATTTCGGGTGTTAACATACACACCCGCAGAGGTTCTCATGAACGGGATGCGATTGTGAAAACGCTGCCAATTCCGCACCGCATCAGTGTGAACCCGGGCTGAATATCTGACTTATTGCCGTGAACTGGTATCTTCACACTGGGGATTCATGGAATCAGCATTGGAGACTAAAAGTTTTACTAAACCCATGACCCTGCATTCCACTATATCTGATCTCCCACAATACACACAATATAAACTGCTAAGCTAAATACTTTTTCTCATCAGCAGTCTTGTGATTTCTATCAGTGTCCAGCAAAGCACTGGTTAAAGCTTGTAGGAGGAATTTTCATTCTGCTCTGACTGCCCTATGAGGATGCATAACCTCCGACCCCTCTCTCTGGGCAGTACTGATTGACCCTGTGATGATCACATGCACACCTCCCAAAGGAAAAAAAAAAAGTCTCTAGCCATACACACTAAACTGAGTATGTGCAGAGTGACTCCTAGAGCTCTGTATTATCAGCAGAAGGATTGGGGTCAGTAGAAGGAGAGGATCAGAGAAAACAGAATCAAACAGCCTTTTTTACACAATGTGGAGGATTAACCCCTTAGGTTCCACAATGAGTATAACAAGCATGCTGCACTCCATATACACACTGATTTTACTGTTGTGGGTTTAGTAACACTTTAAGTTATGTTTGGCAAAAGTCTCTATTTAGGTTCCCAATATGTAGCAGTCCAGGCTCTTTAGGGCTAGTTTACACCACAATCCCCATGTTTAGTGTGCATTTCCACATGTTTTTATTTAGTTTGTAATGTGTTCTGGTACTTTTTTTTTTTTTTTTTCTTTTTTCCATTTGCAAGTTCTTTATTTTACAATGGAGTATGCTGGAATTTCCTTTGAGGCCGTTTCCCTTTTCTTCCCATTGCGTTTGTGTGAAGCATCTTTAGAGTGCTAAGGATCTCCTTCATGTTTATATGCATTCTGGTGCGTTTTACATCGGTTTCCGTGCAAAAAAAAAAAAGCATACTGCTGTACTTTGTGTTGGTTTTTTTTTTTTTTTTTTTTTTTTAACATTGGAACTAAAAGTGCTAGGGTGATTGGAAAACATTGATTTTACTGTGCTTGTGTTTAGGAACGCATCTCTTGGGAACGGTTCAGAGACTGGATAATGATACCCATGTTTTGCTTGAATTGTCTTTTTTAACCAATGAGCTGAACAAAAGTAAAACCTGATTCCTCCATCATAGACAAGAGGAATTCTCCCTGCTGAGACATTGTATTCTGACAGCAGGACTCCTCCGCTGTCAGAATACATCGATCAGCAGCTGCAGCCTTCAGCATTCCCTGGCTCGCCACACATGGATCAAAAGTCATCCGGCCCCTGCTTTACTAGTCGTTTCAATCTATCCATGACCAGCTTTAGTGCGGAATGCTCCAAAATCCATAGATAACGTTACTCATTTGGGTGTTTTTAATAAAAGTAAACCGTTTGCAAAAAGTTTTATTTTTATCCTGTTTAAAAAAAAAAAAACACACATTTTAAAATATTTCTTAACTTACAAAATTGTTTTTTTTTTTGTTTTGTGACTCAGGAAATCCCGTTAGTTTTCAGCAGTACAATGATGTTCACTTGACAGCAGTTATTCTCAAGACATTCCTCCGAGAGCTGCCAGAGCCACTGCTGACCTTTAACCTTTACAACTACGTTGTCAGCTTCTCCAGTAAGTCCATTTTTTAACTTTCGATAATATGGGCAGGGCAATGAAAATGTAGCCTTTACCCTGCGTGGGTCCCCGAGGCAATGACCTCTGCTACTACAGTTTAAAATCATCACATTATTATTATTATTATTATTATTATACAGGATTTATATAGCGCCAGCAGTTTGCTCAGCGCTTTACAATATAACGGGAAACAATACAGCAACAATACAGTTCAATACAAGAGGGATAGGAGGGCCTGATCCTGGGAGCTTACAATCTAAGAGGAATTGAAGAGGCCTGTTTCGTATATTGAGTATATTGCTGCCTTGCCTTCTGTTATTCAGTCCATAGCCTCCCTTGTACTCTCCTAGTTGCCGGCTCCTGCTAGAGATGATTGAAGGCACGTGTGGCTTGTTTAACATTACCCCAGTAATTTATTTACAGTCTGGGGTGCTGAAGGGAATGGTTTGATTTTCTTTTAGGTGTTCAGCTCTTTCTTTTCCACTTTTCAAACCCCTCCATGCCAGCTGTGAAAGGAAATGTTGGGTAGAGCTTTAACTGAACTTGTTTTATACAATATCTAGAGATGAGACAGTTTACTTTGCTTTAAAGTGGTTGTAAACCCTTCCATATACCCAGAGGAAACGAAACAAATCCCCCCACATAAGTTGTACTTGTCTATCTACATTCGTTCAAAGTGCTGATTTTTTAAAGCTTGTCTGGGATGCCAGAAAAAAAGTGGGCAAAGAGCTGACGTTACACTCTGCAGAGTTTAGTGAGGAGAGCTCTGAAAGCTGATTGGAGGGAAGAGACACCACACACACACACACACCCTATGTCTGTAGCCCCTGTCCTCGTTATTTCCACCCTCAGGCCTGGGAGAAATAAAGCTCCAGACACCGAAGTGTGCAAGCTAAATCTAATCTTTAATGCAAGACAAGAACGGTTATACAGAACTCAGTGGGTGTTGCCTAATCTCAGGATGACCAATGAAACATTCCATTCTTATCAATATAGTTACGTGAAGAACAGAAACTGAGGGATACCATATACTGTAGTTTCATTTACAGAAATGAAACTAGTCTAAGAAACGAGAGAGGAGTTACAAAAACAAAACTAACTTTTCACACATCTAGAAATGGAGGCATTATACAAAATGGATGACCGGTAATAAGACATATTTCCTTTACTTCACCTGAAAAGAGCTGAGGCTGTCAATCTACTGGAGGTTCCTCCCTTGTCACCATTTTTCTCTTGGTGTTAGGAAAACCTGGCAGAAGTGATTCATGCTGATGGCAGTGGAACAAAGCAGCAGAGAGAAATCACACTTGGTGCTCCTAATTGAGACAAGTACACACTGTGGAGGGATATACTTTCTTCATATTTCAACCACTTTCAAAATAAGTCCACTTGTGTTGCTGATGTTAACCTATTCCAGATATGCGATTAGAGATTTGTATAAATCATTTTCTCCATGGCACCGTACATAGTCATAGATATAGGGTCAGTAATGCTAATAATGCAATACACAGAATGTTCTAATGACAAGTGACTTGCTTGCTTGGGCCAACAGTTTTTTGTTTGGTTTCTGCTTTATTTGATTACCTGAAATGTTTTCCTAAACCCGGTCTCTGTGTGCAGGTATTGAGCCAGAGAAGCAAGTGGAATCCACTCAGGAAGTTCTGAAAACTTTGCCTGAGGAAAACTATGAGGTCCTGCGGTTCCTCACAGCATTTCTTGTGGAGGTAAGACCTGTATTTCAGTGATATAAAGGAAGCTTGGAATCCGTTCTCACTGTGCCCATGTGTACTCTTTGTTCTGTACCTGGCACAATATATACCTGCCCATATCAACAGGCATTACTTTCCTGCAATTAAGGCACATTCGCAAGGCACTCTAAACGCAGGTCAGCTGTGTCAGCTGTAATTGAGCAGTATACATGGCATTGAGAGGCTGTATTTGACTTTCTTTTCGTTAAGCTGCTTTTTTCAAAATTATACTTGCCTAGGTGGGTGAAGCATCAGTCTGATGCTGCATCTCTCTCCCGCTGGCTCGCAGGGAGAAAACTCAGCGAACACCTGATTGCCGAGTTCTCACCACCACTGTGAGCAGAGGATGGTGACTGTCAGTCACCACTGTCTTCTCTGCCTCCTGCGCTCACTGGAGTGCTGGGCTGTGGAGGGGGAGGGAGCGACTGGCTCAGGATCTCAGCGGATCTCTGGGAGGCTGAGCCAGGTGCCGCTCCAGACTCTGGGGTGGATCCCGACTTTAAAGTCAGGATCTTTCCCCAGTTTGGACCAGCTGAGTGACGTCAGCTGACAGCGGACTTCAGCCTGCTGTCAGCTGAAAATAGGTCACAGGACTGCAGAACGAACTGCACTCCTGTGATCCACAGGAGAAAGACAGCCAGAAGAGCTTTGGCTGTACTTCTTTTTTAAAGCACAGCAAAGTGTGGCAAAAGCAGCCTATTGTCAAACGCTGCCTTTCTATTTGAACACCGCATGCATTCGAATGGAAAAAGAATTGTTTGAATAGAACACCTGTTGGCATTTTGTGGGTGCTCTTTGGATTAGATACTGACAGACTGATTTAAGGGAAAATATAATGGCGTAGTTCAAATCTGTTTAAGAGCCAGTCCAAATATATGCAGATTGGATGTGATTTGAACCGCATCCCATCGTATGGCATGTGATATACCTTTCCTTCCTATGGTGCCTTTTCACATATGTCTGATGCACTTTCAGTGCGGATTGAAAAATAGTCCTGTCTGGTTTCTGAGCAGTGCAGTCCAGTTCAGGTGTGGATTATGTTGTCTTCTAATAATTATGAGGTCCACACAGAAACCGTTCATAAGACAAATCTGTTGTCTTATATCAATGATGGAGGACGTATCACCAGTGTATATTTATATGTACTTTTCCCACAGCAACCAATAGTTTCTATTCCAGAGAGATGCATTTATTTGGATAAAGATATTTGTTACAGATGACAGAAATCCAGCTGAATACTTACATATATTTTACATATATTACATACTTTATATGTAATAATATAAATATTACAATGAACAACAGCCCTCAAGGTCCCATTCAAGATACTTCATATCAAACATAGAAATACCACACTGCCCAGCATATGTCCGATCTATAATATGCACCTAGGTAGCTTCCATGCATGCAATAATGTGAGTTATAATCTATACCCAGGGGCAGACTGACAACTCATGGGGCCCCCGGGCAATAGGGGATCATGGGGCCCCTGTGTCCTTGCCCAAACTCAAGCCTATGAAAAAGGTACCAGGGGCATCTCATGGGGCCCCCTACTGACCCTGGGCAGTGCCCGAGTTTCCAAATGTTCAGTCCGCCCCTGTCTATACCTGTGCTCTCATATCAGTGACAGAAAAAAACTCTTTCCCAGCGGAGGTACAGACAAGGTAGATGACAGGCATTCATTAGGACCCTTCAGATAACCTTCCTGTGTCCTGTCACATTTAACATTTAAAAATACATTTCCTTAATATACACATTTTTCCCATTCAGTACAATGGCAAGCACTCTGATTGGCCACTTTGATTTTACATGAAAAGACTTCAATTGTCATTACTATAAATAACAATTAGGGTCACTATAGTGTTTCCCAGGTAATCAAGTCATCCTTTCACCATATAATAAGCCCTCAAGTCTAATTACTATCAATAAATACTTCTTGTGTGGTCAAATCACATATACAATGTACCCTTTGGAATGTCTAATTAGATAAACAGGCTATTCCCCAAATACCAGGTGACCTGCATAAAATCAACATAGCAAAGAGTTCTTTTGATGTGTAAAGTGGTTTTGTCACTGGCCTGTCCCAGAATGAACAGTATGTGTTTGTATATATATATTACACACAATATACTACAGATTACAGTGAGGACCACATCTGAATTGCACATGTCATGAGTTTGTGAATGCGATTTCAGGATGGTTTTCTCTCCTGATCCTGATCTAAACATGACCTGATCCTGGTCTAAACCTGACCTGGACCACAGAACAGCTACTTTGTCAATTATCTGTGACAACTGAGCTTCAAGTTGAAATGCACATGTGCGAATCTACAGTAAAGGTTTACCGTACCTAAAAAAAATGTAATATATTTCAGTTTAGCAATCCTTAGACGGGGGGTGTCTGCAGTAGTTTTCATTTTTTCATGCTCAGATTATTTTTAGCAAGTACAGAACACACCTGTTGAACCTACCAGAAATGCAGTGTCCTTGTAATTTCCTGTGAGCTGAAAAGAAAGCACAAACATCCTTCTCTGTCTTGTGTAAATTGCTAGTCCTGTCAATCCACTGTGTAATTTAGTTGAACAAAAGCAAAGGTCCAGTCTGTATGACAAGTATGGCTGCCCCACAGATACAGTGCCGTGCTTGTAGTGACATACGGTCTCTTTTTTTGCAGGTATCTGCTTGGAGCTCTGAGAATAAGATGACCAACACTAATCTGGCAGTGGTATTCGGGCCAAACCTTATGTGGGCCAAAGACGTGGCCATGACCTTAAAAGCCATTAATCCCATCAACACCTTCACCAAGTTCTTGCTGGAGAACCAGAAGGAGCTGTTTGAAGAACGTTCTTTGTAAACCAGTATGTTGTCACTGCAACACTCCGCCACTGCCAATCTGACACCACACAGCCACCTGTCCCACAGCACTGCTCCTTTCCATTCTCTTGTGTGTGTTTGTATGTAAACACCTATGTGTGATGTGTTGGAGCTGGCATCTCCAACTTCAATGACAGCACAAAGACCCTTCTAGTTGAAGCCGCCCATGTGTCTACTCTGTGTATGCCGCTCAGTGACAGCTGATGCCTCTGGCAGGCTAAGCACTTTTGTGTTGTGTGATCGTTGTGATGTTCAATGGCATGTTGGGGTGTGAGGTGGTGTGTTGTGGCGTAAAGACCTCATATGATTGTTGAAGGGAAACCTTCTATCCCATAATAATCCTCTGCCCTTAGTTGGAATACATGCTTTTTGACAGTTTATCTTGTGTTTTTCTTTTTCTTGTTTTCCCTGAAATTCTAGATTTGTCATACCAGCCAATTCCATTCTAGTGTCTACTTTTGAATTCACATTAGGAAATGAAAGCTAAATTCGGATTGGTTCTGGACTGTATAGAGTGAAGTCCACCCAAATGCATAGTTTGAAACACGATGCTGGATGGTAGGGTTTAGTTATGACTTATCTTCCTACTGCTATTACAGCTATTTGTGGGTCATGTGAACGCCAAATATGTACGTTTTAACATACAATAACGCATGTGCATTTTACGTTTTTTTTTTTTTTTTTTATTGCTGGAAATTTGGTAAAATGTAGTCTGGTGTAAGAGTCCTTAAAGCAGACTAAATGGGCTAAATACATTCTAGGTGCATCAGAAAAAAAGGTGTGCAGATTCAGTTTGTTTTCAGATGCAGTCTGAATAGAAAGACCTATTCCCTGCCATTGTGCTGCACATAAGGACCATTGTTCTCTGTGGGGAATCAGTAGTCTCTTTGCAAAGGTCTGACACACATCCTACTGAGTCAAAACTATAGCTCTGCAAGCAACAACACTTCTGTATCCTGCTGACTGAGAGCTCTAGTTTTGACTCTGCAGGGAGTGTGTTGGACCTCTGCAGAGGGACTACTGCTTCCCCATAGAGCACAAGGGTATTATCTAGTATGCTTGGTCTTTTTGGATTGTTCAGAGTCTGTTTGTTTTTGAAAATTATTTATTTAAGGGAGACAGCACATGTTCATCAATAACAAAATTTGCAGACGCTGAAAAACCAAACAGATAACGCAATATAGACAAATAGCTACACACAGGCATGTAAATAAAGAAACATCACCTTGCTCATTGCACGGCTCCCTGGGAAAAGCCATGTCTGTGTACATATAGATGAGAACAATCTGACAGAACATGGGATGCCTTAAGTTTGGTAAGAGACCGCAGATAAAACTATGATTAGTGTGTATGCTTGCAGACAAGAATCAGAAGCTGGAGACCGACGTGGAATCAGAACTGTTCAGAGCCTGTTGAGCCAAACCTATAGATCTACAGTTGACAAAAGTTCCGGCTTTCTGCTGATTGGAGGACTCTAGCGTTGATTCAGTAAGCGGGGTTTTGGACCTCTGCAGAAGGACCACAACTTCCACACCGAGTGCAGGCGGTCTCTACAGCATGCTGCTAGGGAACTGGTTTTAGTACTCGGGCTGTGGCTGCTTCCTAATGAAAACAAACTGTAATACCTGAAATGTCTTATTGTTTTGATGCACCTGGAATGTATTTAGCAGACTCAACTAAAAGTTCAATTGGGCTTTAAGCCTAGGTTCACATCTCTGTGAGCCACAATTTGTGTGGGCACAGCAGCCCATTCATTTTAATGGGCTGCCATGCCTCCTGAAATGCAGGGAAAAGGTCCCTGCAGCATTTTAGAAATCGCAGCCTATACGGGAACCGCAAGTGCAATGTGGTTCCCAGTGCAGGAGTGACTTTCAGTGCATGTGGCGTGCCATTAGCATTAATGGCACCTGCACACAGCCCCTGCTTTTTTCTGTGTGGGTGGTTGCGGCTGTGGGAACGGGTGCCGTTCCTGCAGTGGTAATCACCCGCACTGATGTGAACCTAGCGTAAAACACATTTTTATCTTTGAGCTGCAAGAGGAGGTACTCATTGTGGGGCCTTTAAAGAATTGTAGAGAGAAAGTGGATAATGTCTTCTTTCCCCACTCGATTCTGAGTGACTGAAGTGAGGAGTCATTTCCTCTTGAAACCTCCACCAATCCCAGCAGCATTTTAGAAATTGCAGCCCGCACGGGCACTGCAAGTGCAGTGTGGTTCCCAGTCCTGGAGCGATTTCCAGTGTGCGCTATGTGCCGTTAGCATTAATGGTACCTGCACACAGCCCCTGCAATTTTTTTTTTTTTTCTGTGTGGGTGGTTGAGGCTGTGGGAACAGGTGCGTTCCTGCAGTTCTAATCACCTGCACTGACGCATTTTTATTTTTGAGCTACATGAGGAGGTACTCATTGTGGGACCTTTAAAGAATTGTAGAGAGAAAGTGGATAACGTCTTCTTTCTCCACTTGATTCTGAGTGACTGAAGTGAGGAGTGATTTCCACTTGGAACCTCCACCAATCAGATATTTCAGGCTTGCCACTGCGGATCTTTGAGAATATTGCCTCTTGGAATGCAGTCTTGCTTTCTTAGGATTCTTGGAGCTCGGCTGAGGAAAGAAGTGGGCTCTAAAGGATGGGCTACGTCATGCACAAGAATCCAAGCAAACTGCAATCTTTGATTTCTTCAGATTTGGTAAGAAGCACTGTTATTCCAGTAGATTGTTGAGTGCTCTGAAATGGGGGGCCCCACCAGCCAGCAATGGTGGAGGCAGAGGGCTGTGGAAAGGTTTTCTACTTTCTACCTAGAAGTGGGAAAACCTCATGAATGTCCCAGGTTGAGCCCTTACTCTTCTAGTTCTCCTACAGCACCCCTTTCTGCTTTCTGTCTGGAGATATTGAAGGGGTAATCGATCTACACAGATGTCGGGAGAATGCAGAGGGGTTAAAGATCGATCACCAGACTATAACTAGGAACATGGAGGTCACCTATATTCACACATCTGCCTTCCATCACCATCTTCCATTTTTAAATGTTTGTGTGGTGTTTTTAAAGGTTTAGGCCAAAACATTTTGCAGCAGAAACATGCCTTTTTAGGACCTCAAGATACTCTTGGATTCAAGAATCTTTATATATGGTACAAAAGTAAACTACAAGTCAGACGTTTTGCATTCTAAATATAAGCGATAGTGTCTTAAGGTTTTAAGGGTTTTTCTAATATTTGCTAAAAATGTGAGAGCTGCTTCTTAGTCCTCATGCACACCGGACGTTTTTACAGAGGCTGTTTTTGGCTTTTGCCGTTTTTTTTTTCTACAGCCAGTAAATCCCCCAGCATGTTATCCTATGTGTCCATGCACACATAGATTGTAATCAGTGGTTTTTGGCTGGAAAAAACCCAGAACTAGTGGGTTTCCAGAGGAATTTTTGTAGCTGTAAAAACGCTCTAATGCTGCAAAACGCAGCAAACCAGCGTTTTTGGACTTTTTTTTTTTTTTTCTCTTCACAAAAAATCCGCAAACGCGAGAAAACGTGGTTAAAAGCTAGAAATGCTGAAAGTCACATTTTTTAAAATGACTTTACACAGCTAACATTACCAACGTGATAAAAACGTCCCGTGTGCATGAAGCCTTACAGGGTTGGTAGAGGGGCCCCTTCTTATGACCCTACACATGGTAGCTTGTCTAAACAACATGACTATTCATTTCTATGAAGCCCTCTGAGAAGGAGTTTATCTGGTGGAGCTGCCAAAATTGGAATGAACCCTTCCTAGGTTCACATCTGTGCGGGTGGTGCGGCTGTAGATCTGCACGAAAATCCGTGCAGCCGTACCACCCGCACAGAGGATTGCGTACCCACGGGCGGTTGCCATTAGTTCTAATGGCATGCCGCCCGCACTGGAAAACGCAACCATACTGGGAACCGAGGTTCCCGTGGGGGCTGCATTTTCAGAAGAAGTGCAGGGACCTCTGTGTCACGGGCACAGGAGCCCATTCAAATGAATGGACTCTCATGCCCGCGCAAAACACGGCCAACACGGCAGCATATATGTGAACCAGGGATTAACCTGTTTGCAGCTAAACTGAACTGGGAAATAAAAACCCTTCCTTTTTTTAATTAAAAAAAAAAAATAAAAACATTGCCTATCTTTCTAACAGGCACATATGAAAGCATTGAAAATGGCATCTGTATGTAGCCACTCTTCCTCCTCCGCGTGCCATAGCTGAGTACGTCTGAAGCGGTACAAGAGCAGTCTTCGCTCCAATGGCTCACCGAGAGCTTTCCCTTTTTATGTGATCTGTGCTCATATTGGCTGTAAAGTGGCTGCATATTTTGTATACAGTTAGAATACACCCTTTTCAAGGTGACACTTTTTTTTTTCTGGTATAACGCTGCTTTTATTGCTGTTGTCTTTGGAGACAGGTGAATGCTGTCTCTTGATCACTTCTTGTGGTGCAGTTTTCTGATCACCTGTTCTTCTGAGTCAGCAAGTAGCAACAGCACAATATAAACCAAGCAGGACTTAGACCAGTGTCAGGGAGGCACTTACCTGACAGCAAGGTAAGCTTGTAGAACCCATTCCAAATCCTTGAGAGCAGCCAGCTAATCTCACCCCTTTTCTAATGGCTCTGAAGAGGGCTGGTGAGTGTCACCTCTATGGAAACTTTACTTCCCGTGAGTGTCACCTCTATGGAAACTTTCCTTCCCGTGTGCCATACATGCCAGTACAGAGTACAGTGCAAGTAACGTGAAGAATGTGAACTATGTGTTTTGCTTTGGTACTTTCCATAACTATTTTGAGGATTCCTAATTCAGTCTTATTGCACTTTCCAGGCCCTGAAAAGGTTTTTCATGTACGTGAATTTTATTACTTCAACATTGAATATGCGACTGCCAAAGTTCGTTTTTTTTAATTAGAATTTCACAGAATGTATGTTTTGGTTTGGAAGGTGAGTGAATGATTCCTTCATTCATTGTTGCCAGATTTCATA